AATCAAAAGAATGGGGAACGTCTATAACATGCAGTGGCAAATAAAACAAACCAGGGCACTTCCGCTTCTTACTGAAACAGAACAAGGAATGGATTCAGCCTCCTGCCTCAAACAAAGAAAAAAACAAATACAGAAAACAGAGTACACGGAACAATGATTTTCAACACACTGGACATGGGCAGCAAAGGGGAGTGAGCCCCACAGCTGTCCCCGTTGGAGGCCTGGAGCGTCCCTGAGCGGTGGTGTGGACAGAGAGAACGAGACCTCGCCAGCCACCCGACAGACCGGGGCAACTCAAGTCGGCAGGACAGACAGCAGGGAAGGACAGAGCTGAAGGGAGAGGCCTTGGGCCGCATTCACAGATCCGTCAGTGCATGAGTGTAAGGAAGGTACTCAAGAGAAATGGAAGAACCATCTGGAAGGATTGGAGGGAAGGGCAGCCTAGTCGCCCCTGCAGAAAAGATGATGAACTTGAAGGCATCTCTGTAAACTGTCAAAATGAAATACTCAGAGAAAAAAGGGTTAACAATAAAAAGAGCAGCAGGGAGCTGGGGACAACTCAAGGCATCTCATAGATGTGTGATTGGAGACCCTGAGAGAGAGAGGAGGGCATGGGGTGGGGGCAGAAAATATAGCTGAAGACATAATGGCTGAAAACACCCTCCAATTTGGTTTTCTTTTTTTTAAGATTTTATTTATTTGAGGGAGAGAGAAAGAGCACGTGCACACAAAAGCAGGGGGGAGGGGCAGAGGGAGAGGGAGAAGCAGACTCCCCACTGAGCAGGGAGCCTAATGTGGGGTTTGATCCCAGGACCCCGGGATCATGACCTGAGCCGAAGGCAGACGTGTAACCGACTGAGCCACCCAGGTGCCCTGAACATACCCCCAATTAGATGAAAACTGTGAACCCCTGCAGGACCCCGAGCACAAGCCACAGAAAACCACACCAGGGCACGGCGTACCGAGATGCTCAAACCCAGCAATACAGAAAATGCACTGATGCATCCCCCGTCTCACACACAGACCAAGACAAGGCCGGCTGCAGGTTTCCTGTGGGAAACAAGGCGAGTGACTGGGCAGTGGAGGGACATCTGTAAAGTGTCGAATAGGCCAAACCCAAATGAACCTGTCAAACTACAACTGCGAACCCAGCAAGAGTTCTCTCAGAAACAAAGATTGAGGGCGCCTGGGTGGCTCAGTTGGTTAAGCGACTGCCTTCGGCTCAGGTCATGATCCCGGAGTCCCTGGATCGAGTCCCGCATCAGGCTCCCTACTCAGCGAGGAGCCTGCTTCTCCCTCTGACCCTCCCCCCTCTCATGTACTCTCTCTCTGTCTCATTCTCGCTCTCTCAAATAAATAAATCTTAAAAAAAAAAAAAAAAAGAGGGACGCCTGGGTGGCTCAGTCGTTAAGCGTCTGCCTTCGGCTCAGGTCATGATCCCAGGGTCATGGGATCGAGCCCCGCATCAGGCTCCCTGCTCAGCGGGAAGCCTGCTTCTCCCTCTCCCACTCCTCCTGCTTGTGTTTCCTCTCTCGCTGTCTCTCTGTCAGATAAATAAATAAAATCTTTAAAAAAAAAAAAACTTATAAAAAAAAAAAGAAAAAGAAACAAAGATTGAGTGCAGATCTGTTCAGACATCGGACGCCTGAAGGAGTTCATCGGGAGCGGGCCATGCGACGAGCAGTGGTAAAGGACGTTCTGAGAGCAGGACAGTGGTGCTGGGCAGAAATCGGAGTCTGTACACAGAAACGAAAAGCACCACAAATGGTAATTATGTGGGTGGGGAAATAAAAAAGATTTTTTCTTATATAATCTCTTTTAAAAATATAAGAATGAGTTTTCATACAAAAATAATGACACTGTACTGTGGAGTATATGACCCGTGTATACGTGAGATGTGTGACACAGTGTGAAGGCCAGGATGGGAGAGAAGACAGTACACGCCCAAGTCTCTAAATCCCTGTGGAGGGTCACTTGAAGGTGGCCTGCGGGAAGTTCATAAACCCAAGTTCAAAAATAACAAAATAAAGGGTTATGGCTAAGAAGCCAACATAGGAGATACAAGGGAATCACAAAAATGTTAAGTGAGTCCAGAAGAAGTCAGAAAATGAAGGAAAAAGGAACAAAGAATATGGGGGACTGATAGAAAACAAACAGCTATGTGACAGACTTAAATCTAAATACATTAATAATCACGTTGAACGTAAATGGTCTGAGTATCCCAGTGGAAAGATTATCAGGTTGTATTAAAAAATCCAGACCTACAAGAGATTAACTTTAAATACAAAACACAAATAGCTTAAGAGTAAAAGGATGAGAAGATACCCTTCAGATTAGCTAACAGGATGAGGAAGGTACCTTAAATGAGCTAACGCTAATCTAATGAAAGCCGGAGTGGTTGTGTTAGCATCAGACAAAGTAGACTGCAGACAGAAGGACCCTGCGAGAGATAAAGAAGACCATTTTATAATAATAAAGCGGCCAACTGCTCTGGAGGACATGACAATACTCAACATTTATGCACCCAACAACAGAGTTTCAAAACAAACAAAGCTAAAATGGATAGAACTTCAAGGAGAGACAGACAAATCCATGCTACGCTGTTGCATCAGTTGTAAGATAGAAGATTAACACACACAAATCCATTTTTTTCTATAAACTAGCAATGAACAACTGAGAACTAACGTTAAAACATTTAAAGCAGTATAGAAAACATGGCACACTTCAGGATAAGTCTGACAAAAGATCTGTAACCTGTACCTTGGGAACTTACAAGACCCTGTGAATGAGACACACCTAAGTGGAGAGAGGCACCTGGCTCACGGGTCCAACAGCTCCATTCTGTTAGGCTGTCATCGACCTTCAAATTAATCAGCAAGTTCCACACCATCCTAATCAAAACCCCAGCAGACTTTTTGTGTGGAAAATAAGCAACTGATTCTAAAATTCATATGGAAATGCAAAAGGACCTAGAACAGTGACAACAACTTTGAAAAGAAGAACAAGGTTGGAGGAGTAACACTACCTGATTTCAAACTCATTACAGGGCTGAAGCGACCAGGACTGCGCGGTGCTGGCATAAAGATAAACACATGGATCAATGGAACAAAACAGCTCAGAAATAGACCTGCACATCCATGGAGACTGATTTTTGATAAAGGTGCAAAGGCAATTCAGTGGGGGAATAAAATTACAAAACTTCTAGATGAAAATATACAAGAAAATCGTTGTGATCTTGGGTTAGTCAAAGATTCCTTAGATACGACACTAAGAGCAGAACCCATAAGAGAACAAACTGACCACTGGGACTGCATCAAGACTAAACACTTGTGCTATTCAAAGGATGTCACTGGAAGAGCGAAAAGACAAGTCACAGGCCGGAAAGAGATACTTGCAGAGCACGCGTCTGATAAAGGACTCACACTTAGAATATGTAAAGACTCTCAAACCTCATACTTTAAAAAAACACATTAAAAGATTGGCAAAAACGTTGAACACATACTTCAGAAAGAAGGTGTAGATGTCCCATGAGCACAAGGAAGGATGCACGGCGAGCGGCCGCCCCAGGCCCCCTTGGATGGCTGAAGTGACCAAGACTGAGCTGCACCACACGCTGCTGAGGACGGGGCGTACCTGGCCCTCCCGCACACTGTGGAGAGAATGTAAAATGGTACAGCCACTTTGGGAAGCAGTGTAGACAGGTCTTAAAAGGTTAAACATATACCTATCACATGGTCCAGTCGCTCCACTCCCAGCTGTTTATTTACCCAAGAGAAACGAAAGTAGGCATCCACACGGAGACTCGTGTGGGAATGCTCACAGCACTTGTGTGTGAGTGTGTGTGTGCGTGTGTGTGTGTGTGAGTCTACCCCACTAACACCTCCTTGCTGTGGTTTGGAGCCACTCCCTGGGGCCCAGCTCCTCACCGTACCAGGCAACCCTTGGGATCGGTGGCACGCTGGGCACCCAGGCACCCTCTTCCTGACTCCTGGTGGGGGTCCTGCACGGAGACCCCGCAGTGCTCCCCAAATCACTCCTGGGCCACTGCTTCCATGTCTCTCTGGCTCAGACTGTGCTCCCATCACAAACCTCAGAGCCCCTGTCTCATGTCACCCCCAGCAAGTTCCAGCTGAGTGTTTATTTTTGGCTGCTGCCGCAGGCCTGCTGCTCACGGGTGGAGAGTCATCTTCCCAGAGCTCAGACCAAGAGCCTTCCTGCCTGCCTGCACCCCCTCTTTCACAGCCCACTTCTGATCTGTTAGCAAGCCTTAGTTCTTCTTCAAGATACTTCTGGAACCCAGTGCTCCCAGCCCAAGCCCCACCTTCCGTCAGTCCCTGCAGCCTCCCGTGCTCAGCTGGCCCCACGGGCTCCACTCCCGGGCCTCCTGCCCTCCTCTTCTTACCTGCACAAGCCCCAGCTGCCCCCTCCACCTGCTCTTCTCCTCCAGAACGCCCACCTCAGGGGCCACACCTTGCCTACCCACGTAGCACTGCACTTCTGACGCCCTCCCCCCCACGGCTTTCTCCTACTTTGTGGCACCTTTTGTTTTCTAAGACACTTATTCAACCCATCCACTGGCCATCCACTGCCCCTGTGCCCGGAAGAAGGCCTGGGTTCACCACAGCCCCACCAGCTCCTGGGCCCTGAGCACCCACCCTCGGCCAGGTGGCCTGGGCACACAGGGCACACAGGAAGGGCCTCAGGCCTTTGTTGTTTGCCCTGGGCGAGTGTGGGGGCTATCCACGGTGGGCCCATGTCCCACCCAGAGCTTCAGTGTCCAGAAGAGGCACAGAGGCTTTCAAGGTAAGCACAGGTGAGCAGACAGTTCTGCAGTCTGCAAAAGCAACACGAGAATGACCTTGCAAATCAGACATTTAAAAAGGGTCGGGGAAGAGACGAGATGCTGATCGGTGTGATCAGCCGGCAGGCCAGCCTAGGGTGTGTGTGCGTGTGCACACGAGCCAGTGCGGCTGGGGGGCGCAGACAGGAGCCAGAGCCGGTGAGGGGCAGCGCACAGTATTTATTGAACTACAACGTGGTGCAGAGGCGCTTCCTGGCCAGCCCCCCGAAGACGCCTGGGGGCCCACGTGTGCGTCCCCAGCATGTGACCATTCAGTGAAGTCAGGACTCCAGCACCCCCCACCTCGCCTGCACTCTGACCCAGGACCTGGTCCTCCGTTCTCCCTCCCCTGCCCCCAGTGCAGACCTGTGTGGACATGTGGGCCGAGCAAGCACAAGCTCCGGGGGGGGTGGGGGGGCCGAATCAGCAGGGGGTGCTGGGTGGGAGCAAACCCGCTCAAAGCAACCACAGTTCTAGGCGGTCTAGGAGAGACGGCTTGTGGGAAGTGCTGTCAAAACGTCAAAACAATTCTTAAACAGGTACATGGACACTAACGGACAGTATTTCTAAAATGTCACAGATGGGAGTGCCCCCAAAGCATTTAAAATAATTAACACCGCATGCCAGTGCATGAACACGTGAGCATAAATTAATTCCGAGAGAAGTATCAGGGACAGAGCCTGGAGCTGACACACAGATATAATATAGATCTGCTTCGTTAGCGTGTGTATGTCTATGGCATAGATGACTTGTTAGTAAAGAAAACCTCTATTTATATTTGCGACGAATGGCGGGCGGGCGGTCTGTACAGAGTGTGCGAGCCGGGTGGAGGTCAGGGTTCATGGGTCGGAGGCCATCGGGCAGGATTAGAGCGCACCCATCCCAGTGACCTCAGATGTCAGCCTGGAAGACACAAAGGCACAGGGGGACAGGTCACAGCGTCCTCATAAAACGGGACCAGAAGCGAACAGCTCGCTCTGTGTGTTCTCACAGCCTTCGAACCCACCTCCCTCTCGGTTGTTAGATGTGTGGCCATGAGCTGGAGACCAAAGTGGGGTGGAGGGAAGAGGACCCACTGGGGACCAGGTTGGTGGGGTCTGCCTTCCCTGTCACCACGTCAGGGGTGTGACACTAACCACCTGGACAAGCATCGGCCACCACGACCCTTTCTTCAGCAGCTGCTCTCGGAGGGGAGCCAGGGTCGCACTGCCCACGGCACGGAGGGGAGGCTGCCTCCCACGTCCACCTGGGCCTCCCCAGAGCCCAGCTGATCTTCTGAGTTAAAGAGCAGGGTCTGGCCCCGGGTGTGGTCACACTATGTTCTCTGACACGTCCCTGGGCAGGGAAGCTGAGGCGCATGCTCAGCCCCAGGAGCTCACCCGCCCCTGGTGTACCCCTCTGACCCTCACAGTTTCCAGATTCGCTGCTCGGCAAGGGTCTGGGTGGCAGCGGCAGTGTCTTTACAACCACAAGGCGTGTGAGAGGAGAGTGGTCTAGTAATGTGCTCTCTGAAACCCCATAACCCAGTTAGCCCAAGTGTGTGACCTCGGCCATGCAGCCCCGGCCCCTCTGGAAACGCTCTAGGCTGTAACCACCTCACCGCCCCCCCCAAGAATGTCCAGGGTGAACGGTCAGGTGTGAACGTGTGGAGCGGGTGTAGGGCCCCACGTCTATGTGGAGACTGTCTCCATCACATCCCACCCCCACGCCCAGCCAGGAGAGCGAAGCCACCAGGGAGGACCGGGCACGGTCTGGGCTCTCGCCATGGCGAGCCAGTCCCTCTGAGAGTCTTGTCCGGCCAGCGACACATCAGACAGGGCCTTGTGAACACTCACCTGGCATTGATGAGGTACTGGGCAAGGCTGATGTTGGCTGGGGTCCCTGTGATGGTGATCTGGCGCTCGGATGACCCTTCTGTGGCATTGGCAATTTTGATCTGAGCTCCAGACATCTGTCGAATTTCATTGATTTTGGTCCCTTGGCGTCCAATTATGCAGCCTATTAGCTAGAAAAAAGGACGGAGGACTTCCTTAGAGAAGAGCTCCCCACCCCGAGCTGAGTGCGTGCAGAGCCCTAGGGAGGCCCCAGAGGGAGGACAGCCCAGCCTTGGTGTCCACCCCACTCCACAAACTCCGCCCTCCCAGAAGGACGAGGCACTGCCCATCCAGGAGGCAGGGTGCCAGGCAGCTTTCCTGCTGGGGGTGAGGCTGCGGATGCCCGGGCTCTGCCTGCTGCAGCAAGTCCTGACAAGTCCCAGAGGGGAGGGGCACCCGCTGCGTCACCTCCCCTGGTGTCCTTCGGGGACCTGGGAGATGGGGAGCACGCAGGCGTCAGCACCAGGGCCCTCTTGGCCGTGTCCTCGAGGTGGAGAAATGTGTGTCTGAAGCCAGAGTTTAAAGCTCTCTGCTGCCTAAAACCCGTCTTCTGATGAACTTGGGTGAAGTTCTCAGGACATGTCAGATGCTCCCTATCCTTCCCACTGTGTGGCCTCTGGCCGCCCTGGGCCATCTGAAGGAAGAGGCGGTCATCAAGAATCAAGCAGCCAGAAGGACAGGAGCCAGGGCTGCTCGGGACACACAAGGAGCCACGCGCAGGGCTGGGCTGCAGCCTGAGCTCTAGACCAGCTCTCTGAGGCGGCCCACCCTGCTGGGGGGGGCAACTCGGGCCCCAGAGAAGCCTCCACGGAGGAGGCAGCTGCACCTCTCCATGTTCACTGTGGGCAGAACTGAGTCCCTCCCTGAGCCGGGGCCGCTGAGGTCAGCTCGGAGAGCAGGCACCGAGCAGGGCAGGGCCGGTGCAGCGGCTTCTGAGTCGGTCTCCCCTGGCCCGGGGGGTAAGCAGCCGGGCCGAGAGTGTCAGCAGGGCTAGAAGCCCGCTTCTGTGGGATGGTAAGAGGAAGGAAGCCCATTTACAATCACACACACCTCTGGACCTATTTAATGACACCAGCTCTTGTCCCCGAGGTGACCTCCAGCTTCTCAGTCCTCTCCTTTCCTCGGTTAGGTCAGCTGCCTCACTAGAGTCTCTCCACATGTCCAGAGAAGCCTCCACCCCAGGGCTGCTCAGCTCCCAGGCCCCGCCCCCGCCCCAGGCCCCGCCCCTAACCCGCCCGGCCCCGCCCCGCCCCGAGGTCGGTGCGGGAGCCGCTACTGTCCCTCCCTGGCCCGGAGTCCTTGTCCCGCAGCAGAGACCACCTGGAGCGCTGCCCTCCGACCGCGCCGGGCAAGGCAGGGGCTGCTGGGCTCGTGGGCTGCATGGGGGCAGCAGCACTGGCCCCTGATGGAGGGGGACGTGGGCCAGCCGAGTCCCCAGAAGATGCCCGCCCTCAGGAGGATCCTCACACTTCGTGGCCGCTAGCAGCCCAGTCTCCCTTCCAGAACCTTCTCCCTTCAGTGCAAGTGGCGTTTGTGAGGCTCCTGCAGAAAGGCTTGTTTTCTCCGATAACCCTGAGGAGACGTCTCTCTGGCACGCAGTCCCCACGCTCTCTCAAACTGCTTCCTGAAGACGTCCTCGCGCCCAGCCCTCTCGTCTTCCCTGGGGCCTCACCCCTGCGGGGCCCTGCGCTGCCCCCCAGCCGGCCCGGGGGCTCCTGAAGCCGCCCCTCACTCCCCACTCATGTGGAACACGTCCCTCCTCCAGAGAGAGCAGAGGGGTGCAGACGCCGGGCTGGCCCACGGCTCTCCTGCGGGCAGCAGTGTCCTGGGCAGCTGGAAAGGCCCTCGGACCCGGCGGGCGCGGGCCCTCCCAGCCCTGCTCTGCAGCCGTGGGCCACGCAGGCCCCTACGGCTGGGCTGCCGGGGCCTCCTGACCCCAGGCGCACGCAGCCGTGCCCAGCTCTCTCCTCTCAGCCGGTGGGCTTCCACGGGAGCCTGAAGGGAAGTCACAGAGGCACCTTCAAGGACCGTGGCCCCTTCACTGCTTTGCCCCTGGAACCAGCCAGGCACGAAGTCCTAAGAGAAGCACAGAGTTGTGGCTTCTCCTAACTGGGTTCAGGCTGCACCCCAGGGCTCTGTGGGAACACACCTTTCTCTCATCCCGGTGCCGCCTGTGTGAGCCCTTAGATCTCTGGGTGATTCTGGGGTTGGGACCAGGGACAGGGCCCAAGTGTGGGGTGACCACAGGCACAGGGACAGTGAGGGCCCAACGGCGACATCGGCCAGGGGACCCAGAACGCCACCAGAGGCAGCTCCACACACGGCTGCCGGCCCTGACCCGGCCTGGGTCCCCGTCACCATGCCAGCAGGTGGCTCTGCTGTGGAAGCTGCACGTGGTTTCGGTTACCACACGCTCCCGCCATCCGGAGAGTCCTGCTGTGGCGGCCTGTGGGTGTGGGCAAACTCCCCTCCGCACAACCTAGCTTTGACCAGGGACACGGATGGGCATCATGGGAGATGCGCATCTGAACACGGGCTGATGCACGCACGCCTCCCCTGGGGGGCCGGGGTGAGCATGAGAACGCCCCCTAGCAGTGCTGTCACCCAAATCCTCCTCCCAGGAAGGGCCCCCTCAGAGCCTCCTTCTGAGGGACTCCCCGGGAGGAGGCGGGCGAGGTGGCGCCCATGTGCTCCAGGGGGCCCCACGAAGCAGGCACCCTGCTCGCTCTCCGAACGAGCCTCATCCTCTTCCTCTTGTTTTCTGGGCTCATCTCACTTTTGGAAGGAAGGCTTGGACAAGAAGACTCCTGTCATTAGTGAAGTGGTCTCGGTAAAGGCTCAGAGGAGAAGCCCCACGGGTGCAGTGTGGCCCCTGCATTTAGCATGTGGGTGAAGATTCGGGGGGCTGCCTGCAGCCAAGCTGCTCGAGGATCATCACGTGGGAAGACAATGTCGGCAGCTCCCAAGAGCAGAAACACTCTCCCCTTGAGACGCAGGAGCGCGTCACCTGCAGCTGGCCACCAGGGCCCTGATGAAGGCGGTGTTTCCTTGCGGAGTGTGTGGGGGGGTCCCTTCCTCTGGTCCTGTGCCTCGCTACTCTCCCGCCCTGTGGCTCATCCCTGTCCATACTCGGGATGGGCCATCCCCCTGAAGCCACAACTCTGTGCTTCTCTTAGGACTTCGTGCCTGGCTGGTTCCAGGGGCAAACCAGTGAAGGTCTGGAAGGCCTCAGTTCTAGGGCAGAAAAGGCCAGCTGACACGTGAGCTGGGAAGGCCATGTCCCCCAAGCAGCCACCTTCCTGTGCGACTCTGAGCCGCTGCCCCTCAAGGACATGTGGCCCACATCCACCCTGGTGTCTCAGTTTCCGATCGGAGTCAGCGTCCTTAGGATAACCCAGGGGTTCGGAGGACAGGGCAGGTAGGGCTGAGCATGTGGAGGGTGGTTCATAAGGCCACTTTGTCAGCTGAGCCCTGGGCAGGGACGGGCTGTGGGCACCAGGTGTGGGCATCCTGCTACAGCAGACCCTCCAAGCGTTCCTGGCCCACCTGCTCTTCAAGGGTCAACCCCGAAGTCCCCTTAGCTCCTTTCCTGTCTAGTCTCTAGGGACCGTGACATCACGTGCCTTTTGTGGCCCCTATACCCAGCCGTGGGAAGGGCGGGGAGCGGTCCCAGGCAAGTCAGGGCTGGCTGAGGACTCAGGCATACTCACATCATTGGGAATGGTGAGCTCGTGAGTGCTGGCCGGGGGGCTGGCGTCCAGACCTGGGCACACCAAGGGGACAAGGTTAGGCTGGCAGCAGGCTGCTCACATCGCGCCCGGCACCCGCCCCCCTGGAGCCCGTGGGTGGGGCACGCACCCCCGGGGGCCCAGGCCCTGTGAGCTCTCAGTCCCAAACTGCAACCAATGTCTGGAGTCCCAGCTTCTCTCAAAACAAGGACAAAGAGCCTCCGCACAGTGACGTTCCACGTTTTCATTTTGGGCACCTGGTGATTTCACTCCTGTGTCATGCCGTGCGATGTGGGGATGCCCTTCACAGACCTCTGGGGGACCATGCTGAGCGGCCAAGTGTGTGTCCTGGGCCCCTGTGCACCCCCAGGCCGGCTGCTCCTCCTCCCCCTCTGCCCCAGCAGAGCCACGGGCCCCACACCGCCAGCCCCGCAGCCCAGCCCCGTGGCCCCACCACACAGGCAGCTCTCCCACCCCGACAGCCCCATGGATTCAATGGTCAACCAGTAAGCCGTGAGGCCCAGTGGAGACCATGCGCTTCTGTGCTGAAAGTGCAGACACAGGCCTAACTGATCACCAGGCCCCCAGTTTTTATCTTTACAATCTCAGCTCGGGGCCTAGCAAATCAGAGACAACTTCTCGAACAGCTTCTCACAGGACGAGATCTACTCCTGCTCCCGAAACAGGGACAACAGAACATGTGGTGGGCTTCGATAGGACCAGCGGGCTCCCTGCCCTCAGCACTTCTGTCTCTGTCTCCGGAGGCATCTAGAGCACCAAGTCCATCCACAGCGGATGCCCCCAATCCTCCCGGCAGCCCCACGCGTGCCTGGAGCCTCCACCTGCAGAACCACCATCACAGCCCGGCTCATACCATCAGAATATTCCGGAGCCTGAGCCCTCTCTTCTCCTCTCTCCTGGTTCCTGCCTCTGCCTTTGCCCCTCAGTCTACTCTCCACAGGCCCAGAGAGGCCTAAGGAAACACAAGTCAGACGCCTTCAAGACTGTGCCAAGCCCACCCTGCCTCCCCATGTTCCTGCCATCGGCCTCCCCGCCCACCCCCACCCCTCCCCTCTTCCTGCTTCTTCCTCCACCGCACTTGTGTCCCCAACACTAGACACACTGTGGTCATCAGTCTCTGCCACGAGAGACCCCACCAGGGCCCACCGCGCTGGCGGGTCAGTTGGCAAGTGCTGAATGAACCAGTTCATCCCCAATTGTCATTTCCTTTTGCACAGCTAAATCTAGAGTTTCTGTGCTTTATCTTCTTTTCAGAGAGGTATTTTCAATACAGTTATCTGGTTGTTCGAGCGTCTACATACATTCCGTAAATAGTGACATGCAAAATGTCATCTACGAAATTTTCTCAGTCCTCTGTGAGCCCCGGACAGGAACTCCTGCATGGCCTGCTTTGGGATGGACATAAAGCCGCGAGTCATATCCGTTCACCTTGGTGGATTCTGATCCAGGGGAGGAAAGTATCAGACTTCTTTTCCAAGAGGGCACTGACATAAACTGCTGGTCCAGAGACACACCTGTTTACAACTGGCATTCCTGTATCTGAGGGCCACGTGCCCTGGTGGTGAGTCTCCCTCATGAGATGCTGATGCCGTGCACACCGGGACAGGAATCAAGCTTCACCATGCTTTGCGAGCATCGGTGATATCGCCCCAGTCTCCATGCATGTGTGTGGGACACGCATGCATGTGTATGCTCTCCCTCTGGGTCTCACGGGGCCTCGGGGTGGGAGGTCATCACAAGGACGCCTTAAAGAGGCCAGCGCACACATGTCCCACATCCTTGAGGCCCACAGGTGGTGCTGGGGGAGCCAGGGCAGGGTCTGTGGGCGGCTGGCCGGGTGGGCGCTGTGTGTCCCAGGCAAGCCAGGCCCTCGGGTCGCCAGCTATCTCTGGGAGACCATTGCTGGGTAATTGTATGAAATCACGTATAAACTGCTGAGGACTTACAGGCACATGTGTGTTATCACCTAAGTAAATAATTTTATAAGGGTTGATATCCATTTCATAATCACATACGTCCTATACGTTTTTCTCTACCTATCATTCATTAAACTCTGCATTCACTGCATTAGGGGCTGCACTGCGACGGGACCGATCTGGGGTGCATGGAGCATCAGAGCCCGTGTCTCGGCCCAGGGCGCACAGCTAGGCTCTGGGGCCCAGAACCCACCGATGGGGTGACAGCCAGTGACCGCTGGAAGCGCTGCCCTCCTACATTCCCCTTCAGCTGGACGCCTGCTCTTCTGCTCTGACCCCGAGTGGGATGGGAGAGCAGGTGGTGCCCCCTCACGGGGAACCGGCTCTGCCCGGCCACCAGCTCTCAGGTGGCGTCACTCCCCAAACCTCTGGGGGAATGGCATCTGCAGACCCGAGCCTGCCCTGCGACAGCCTGGGGCATGTTAATGCAACCAGCTGGGTGCAGACAAATCTGGCCCAGGGCACTCTGCTCCTTGACCCTGTGCTCTATCTCCTATGAAATGCATTTCCACAAAGCACACGTCACGGTCAATTCTTCGCTGTAGGCCCCCCACACTGTGCTGTTATAATACAGGCGTTGGCCCGTCACCTCTGGGGCCTTCGATGACGGGCAGCTGCGCTCTGAGCACCTTCCGAGCCTGTGAGCTGCCACCACCTCCCAGCAGCGCCCGGGGCTGACCCACGGGCCGGCCACACGGGCTCTGTCCCCTGACAGCACTGAGGCGCTCGCAGTCCCCATGGCAGACGCGGTTGGGCCTCCTTGCCCCTCCTCCCGCCAGGTCGGTGACCCGGAGCCCGGGCAGGGGCGGATGCACGGCCTTCTGGGCCTGCCCTCTCTCCATTTAGTGTGCTTCTGTTTTACCTGACGACTGGCCCATCAGATTTTGAGCTTCTTCGGAGGAGTGTAAAGGCAGCTTTTCTCCTGGAGAGCAAAGAAGAGACAGATTTAATGTTTTGCCCTCAAGGAGATAAGCAAGGTCACTTCAACTAGGGAAGCTCAAAATCTGACTGGCGCATGCACAGCAGACCAGCGTGTCCAGCGTGTGGTCACCTGCACGGCTGCCGAGGCGATGCCCTGCCGGTATCAGGGAGGAAGGAACGCCCGGCTGGCCAGACGCAGCGGAGCGAAGGCCCACCCCCACCCTCGTGCCAAGTGGGTGCCGATAGTGACCGTGCCCTGGGCTGGGGGTTGGCTCATCTCAGTTCTCCCTGGGGCAGGGCCGGGTGCCGTCCTGGGCAGGTGTCACTCCTGGGCTGTGCACGGGCCTCCTACAGGAGGGCATCCCGTCTGCTTGTCTGAGCTCTTGCTCCTGGAGAGAACAGGCTTCGGGGCTGGCCAAATGGATGTACTCGGCAGGAGGGGCCCTCCCAGGATGCCTGTGCGCAGCGGAGAGCAGGCGTGGACCCTCGAGGCAGCAGATATCGCTTCGCAAGAAGGCCATCGTGAGGTGACCAGCCTACCGCAGTAGACACAGAGACCTCCCCGCCCGGCCCTCTGCAACGTGCACACTGCTGTGTGTCTACACTGCGTCCTCGGCATCCTCAACTAGAACTGTACCTGTTTTGCTCGCCACCCTGAATAATGACAGTTCAGAAAGAGAGTCCCCAGGTGAGAAGAGAGGAGGTCAGAAAGGGCAGCTGGGTACGTACCGGGGAAAGCGGGGTTGGTCTGTCCGAGGGGAGGAAAGGGGGTTTGCTGCATGGCCAGCTGGTGGAGCTTGGTCAACTGCTGGGGTAGGAGGGACATGAGAGCTAAGAAGATTATTGTCATCGAGCACAAGTCACACCAAATTAAAAAGGCAGTAACAGAACGTTGTACAAATAGATATAGAGGGGGCCATGCGGACACATGGCAGACGCAGCAGAACGCAAGGACTTGGCCTGGGAAACCAATGGGCCACTGGGCGGGCGCACCCAGTTCCTTTCCTCTCCTGGGCTCCCTGGCAGCTCACACAGGCTTGGCGGGCAGCGACCCCCAGACCGCATGCAGGCGAGGGAGGCCAACTGCATGCAGGTGAGGGAGGCTAGCGGAGGCCACCAGGCCCCTTGGCTCGGTGGGGAGGGTCTGAGAGCCACAGAACAGGACCTGCTGGGCCCCTAGGGGCTTCAAGGTCAGGTCATGCTGTCCTCATAGAACGCACGCACCTTGTGACCGATGCCCCCTTCTGCAAACCTGGCCCAGCCCCAGCCCCAGCTAGACCTGGACCTCGTCCTGGGCCAGCCCTGCCTCTCTTGCAGGGCCTCCCCAAGCTGGTCTTCTGGGACTCCCAGGATCACAGAATGTAGTGCTGGAAGGTTCTGTAGGGGGCAGGTGAGCGCCTCCAAGAGGCTGTGAGGGCTGTTAGAGTCTCACGACTATGACCAGGCCGCTCTCTCTCCCCTTTTCCCCCACCTACTGGGCTTTCTTCAGTTGTTTTTACCTGGGCCTCATTTCTTTTTTCTTTCTTTATTTTTTTAACTAGGCTCCACGCCCAGCCCAAGCCTGATGCGGAGCTTGAACTCATGACCCTGAGATCATCACCTGAGCTGAGATCAAGAGTCAGACACTCAACCGACTGAGCCACCCAGGGCGTCCCATCTGGGCCTCATTTCTTAAGTAAAAACCCCAAATAGCAGAAGGTAAAGGTAAACGTGGTGAGTCCTGGCCATATTTTGGGAACTGAAGGCTAATTGCTGGACACTCAGAGGGATGCCCTCAGCCTAGCTCACCTGCAGGGCCGACACCGCACACTCTGGGAAGTGCACTCAGCTCCTAACCTCCTCCTGAGAGCAGGCCCATCCCGAGCGTGTCCCAGCTCTGCTCTGGGGCTGGCCCTGGACTCCTGTCTGGAGGCGAGGACGGGGCCTCCCCGGAGCCCCCGGGGTCAGCGGGTGGGGCACACAGGGAGGAGCTGGTGTCCCCACTGGACACAGGTGTGTCGGGGAGGTGGCGATTGTGCCCGAGACACAAACACCCGACACCCAGGAGCCTTCACAGATGCACCTCAAAGAGAGGAGCGGGTCGCTGTGGGCCTTCAGCAACTTAGCCCCACACAGAGACGAACAGCAAAGCCCCTTCCAGCTTGAGGAGGACCATGGCTGCCCCGTGTGCCGTGCCTGTGGGTGCAGCTGCGGGTGCAGGGGTGCACGGTGCGTCGGCGCTCCGTCCAGCTCTTGTAGCTCCCACAGCGCGAGGTGTGTGGACCCCAGCTGTAGCTGGGAGCCAGGCCACGACCACCTGTGGCCTCCTGGTCATGCCTTCGAGGTGGAACCTCTGCCGTGTGAGCCCCGGGATGTGAGGCGGGCCGCTGCTGCAGCAGAAGTGACCACGCCTGGTCTCTCCTGGCCGGCCCCCATGACACAGCTATCAGAGGGCCTCCCTCTCCCCCTCTCTTCCTGGAGAGGGCAAGTGCCTCTAAATGCAGGCTTCTCCCTGTCTTCTGGGGTGCTCCCTGACCTGTGGCTCTCGGGGGGGGGGCCTGCCCAGGGAGCACCGGCCACATTGACTTGATGAGCCCACTCTGGGGGCATCTGTCATGCCCTGGGGTCCTGAGAAGCACAGGTTAGGGGGTGTGGTGACCTGGAGTCAGGTCCAGCAATGACAGTCCCTGATGAGGTGGTGCGGGTCAAGGGTGCACCTGGGGCTGAGGGCTGACCCTGCACCTGTCACGTCTGCCCCATGACCTAACACCACTGAGCTGTCTGACCTTAGCAGCCACTCGTCGGAGGCCCCTGAGGAAGATGCCAGAAGAGCACACCCAGGAAACACCATCATGGGGATACCCGCTGAAGTGACAGGGACAAGAGGTGACACATGGCCTGCACCCGCTGTGCCTCAGGCAAGATGACCCTGCAGGAAAGGGGCCTGGAGGTCAGAGAGCCTGCTGCGTGGCTTGGGCAGCCTAGCGAAGGCTCCTCTTTCAGGAACAAGTGGGAAAGATGGCAAGTACCCAATGGCCCCCTGGGGTATGAGGAATGAGGAGAGGGTGAGGCTGTCTGTGGCTGGGGAGCTGCCTGGGAGCCGGACCGCACAGACCTGGTCCCGGGAACCTGCGTCTGCCTTGACGGGACCAGGAGCCACAGGGGCCGCAGGCCCTGTGCATAGCAGGCCCGAGCCCCAGCTGTCACCTGGCAGGGGTGCGCCTGAACCCACCTTCAGGCGGAGCTGGAGCCTGGCTAAGGTTTCAAGGCGGTAACTACGAGTTCCTAGGTCGGAGGAGAAGACCCCACTTCTGGAGACAGCACATGGGAAGTTGAAGCACAGAGGCTGTGCGAGTCGGGCTCAGGGCTGCCAGGCAGTGGGGGGCTGGGCATGCAGTGTGCTCTGACCGCCACTCGGGTTTCCATGAGACGCAGAGCTCACACAGGGACAGTGGCCTGGTGCATGACCAGCCCCCTGAGGGCTCCAGCCCTCTGCCCAGAGGACGGGCCAGCAGGGAGCCTGGGGGTGACCCTGGGGCCACGAGGTCTGTTGGCCTGGCTGCTCGGGGCTCTTGTCCTGCCACCTCTCCCATCAGGTGCTTGTACTCCTCCCATGGGCAGAGTCCTCTCCTGTCTGTCCCGAGGCCCCAAGAGTGCACAGCTGTGTGTTGGTCAGGACCGCAGGGGACAGCAGGGGAGAGCAGGGCCCTGGCGGCGGAACTGGCCTGGTTTAGCTCCAGCACCGACCAGCTGGGTGGAGGAGGGCTCATCTGGTCTCTGCAGACCTCCGTCCTGATCTGTAGGATGGGGGAATCAGGAGAGCAAGCGGCCGGCCACCAAGTGCTGTCCACCTCAGCTGGGGAGCATCACCATCGAGAACAACCTGGGGCTTCCCCACCCACCTGTCCGCAGCTCCGTTACCTCAATGCTCCCCTGGTGTCTCCATCACCTCCCTGGCAGGTAAGCAAATGCGGTGCGTCCGGCGGGTTGGCACAGAGCCCACGAGCACACGTGCTCCAGGCGCAGGCGGACGAATGCTCCCCGAGGCTGGAGCATCAGCAGTCCTGGCCCTAAGCTCTCCTACTGCCAGGCACTGGGTGCTTTTCATGAAGAAACGGCCACCCCAGCGGTGAGTCTCCCTCCACCCATGCACCAAGAATGTAAAGTGACGTCCGGCGGAGACTGGCTGGGCACACGGTGGTCCAGCAAGCAGACGGGCAGAGAGGCGGATGGATGGTGTCAGCTGGGCTCCCTCTTGTCTTGGTTCTGTCCTTAATTAGTCCAGCACTTCATCTCCTTGGGATGTAATTTCTACATTTTTTAAGGAAGGAGCAGAAAAAGTGCTAAGGGGATTCCTACTTTTTGAGACATTTTTGCCATTAAAAAATCAGACTCCCAGTACTCACAAGTGCCTCCAAAACACTGGGAGGGAGGGAGGCAGGGTGGAAGGAAAGGGAGGGCGCAGGGGGAGGGAGGGGCAGGTGTCCTGAGATGGACGGCTCTCTGTCCCTTGCCTTTTCCACTGAAGGTTGGATTGGAATAGAAAAACAGACAAATCCTAAATGCCGACAAAGGCTAAAACTCACTGAGTTATCACAAGACGGGCGCGCTCTGCACCTGCCACTCACTGTCAAGAACAGACCACTGTGTGGGCTCAGGCTGCGTTCATGTTTCCTCTCCTGTGAAATGCTTGTGTCTTTGCCCGTTTTTCTATTGGGTTGACTTTTGCTCACTCACAAAAACTCCTTTTATATTTCAGATATTAATCCTATTTCAGTTGTATGTGCTAAGAAGATCTTTTTCCCACTCTCCTTTGGTGTCTTTAGAGAAAGATAATTTTTAAATTTTAATGTAGTCAAATTCATTTATATTTTCTTCATGGTTTGTGCTATTTTTGTTTACGAAACCTTTCCCTGACTTGAGAACAGAAGGATCTTCTCTATTTTCTTCTAAAAGTGCTGATTTCCTCTCTTGTGTTGACGTTCTTGACACATGAGAAGTGTTTGGGTCATTGTTCCCACACGGATGACCACGGCCCGTCCTCGCCCCTGCCATCTGCACCGGCAGCTCCCTGGCCGGCGTGGGCAGGCCCCGGCTCTCTGGGGGGCACACTGGCCCAGGGTTGCCCCCGGCGCCCAGACCCCGTCTCCAGCAGTACGGCTCCACGGCCAGTCCCCGCATCTGTCAGGACAGCTCTCCCAACCGTCTGTTCTTTTCATAGGTATCTTGGTGATTCTTGGCCTTTGCTCTTTCATATAAATTTTAAACAGCATGTTAAATCCCTGTCAGGATTTTGACTGGAATGGTACTGCATTTGTACCTCGATTTGGGAAGAATTGACATATTAAAGATATTTCATGTTCCTATCCACGAAATTGGTATGTTCCCCCCCTCCTTTTTTTTTTTTGTTTTTGGGCTTCTTTAACTTTCAATAAAGACAAGTTTTTTTTTTTTTAAGTCATCTTTTAATTATTGATTTCAACTTAATTGCTTGGTGGTGAGAGTATAGCCTCGATGATTCCAATTTTTGATAGATGGTGAGTTTTCTTTACAGCGTAATGTGTGATCCAGGAATGTAGACGTTTCTGGGACTTACTTCTTACGTTGTGTAGAATTGGGTTCAAGCTGTATCAGTCACAGCAGAGTCATGGGCAGGCTCCCTACATGTCTGTCAAATTTTAACAAACCTTTATGATTTGTTAAGTTTTTCTTTACATGTATTTGAAGATATGTTTCAGGTGCATACAAGTTTTGAATTTATATCTTCTGGTGAACTGAGCCTTTATCAATACGTAAATGACTATAAATATAGAATTTGCCTTAAAGTTTTGTTTTCCCCCACTGATA